AACCATGTAAAAGGGCTTCTTTCTCCTGAATACTCACTAGCACTATTTTTTGTATTCTTGATGATAGCTATTCTGACTGGGTTGAGATGGAACTGTTAGTTTGTTTTTGGGGCTTTTTAAGTGTTTTTTTGTGGTAATAGTGATTGAAGCCAGGGCCTTTTCCCTGTGCCCTATCCCTTGCCCTTTTCTTATTTTTTAATTGTGAGACAGGGTCTTACTAACTTGCTAGACAGCCAGACTGGGCTTGAACTGTGATCCTCCTGCTTCAGTCTCCCAAAGTACTGGCATTACAGATGTGCACTGCACTTGGCTTCAGTGTATTTTTAATTTGCCTAATGGTTAAATATGCTGAACATATTTTCATGCATTTATTGGTTGTTTGTACTACTTTTTTGGAGAAATATTTATTCAGTTTATTTGCCCATTTTTAAAATTGGGTTATCTGTGTTAGGGGAGTTAATTTTTTTGAGTTCTTACATATATTAAAAATATGTAGCCAGGCATGGTGGTACACATCCATATTCCTAGCACTCGAGAGGCTAAGGCAGTGAGTTTGAAACTAGTCTGGGCTATAAAGTGAATTCCAAGCCAGCCTGAACTGCATACTAAGACCCGGTCTCAAAAAGACAAAATAAAACAAAACAAAAACCCAAAATATTAATTCTCTATCAGACAAAGGAAATAGTCTAAATGTTAATCAACAAATGAATGACAAAATGTGACAGATACATACATACATACATATATATATACATACATACTTATCAGTCATAAAGAAAGATAAAAATCCTGTCACTTGCAGAAAATTGGACAGAATTCAAGACCACCCTATTGAAGAAGCCAGACTCAGAACGCTAAATATCACTCCTATTATATAAGAAATTTAAAATACAGATAAATAAATGAAAAAAATAAAGGAGAAATCATAGGAAGCTAGAAGGCAGCTTCTTGAATATGGAGAAGGAGGTGAGGGAGAGGTAGGAGGAAATGGTTGGGGGGCACCTAAGGTGTTATAGTTTATGTTTGGATATCCTCCCAAAGCTTCATGCAGTCATGAAGGCCGTTGAATCTAGCATTTGTGATTGGTTCGTTGTCCAGCACTGGGGTTGGTGGTGTGAGTGCTATTATCACCCACGGGCTGGTAGCGGCATGGGCTATAAGGGCAGGAAGGAGGTGTCCTTTTTCCCTTTTGTTCTGGTTGCTTCTGATATCTGCCACAGCTGCCATGAACAGTTGCCCCTCTGCCATGACACCCTGTCTTAGAGCCAGCTAAGTACAGACTGAAACCTCCAAGAATTGTACATTAAATATACCTTTCCTTTCTTCATTTTGGGCATCAAGTATTTTGTCTCAACAATGAGAAAAAAGTGACCAAGACATAAGGAGATTGAAAAATGATCAAGATCCTTGACATGCACGTACCAAGTCCCCAAAACAAACATCACTATTCTGTATAATCATTTAAAAAAATTGTGCTGAGGCAGTGAACAGTGATACTAACTTTCTGGAAACACCAAGCACTACCAACCACTGGGACAGCCTCCCCAATGTCTTCATAGACACTATGGGGTCAATGTTGAGAAAAACAGCCCTAAGCCTTGCCCTCACAGAGTTGGTCTCATCATCACTGCTTACTGTTGACACAAACGGTCTCATTCAGCCAAACCTCCTTCCATGGATAACTAGTCCCCCTGACTGAAGGCTTTCCTTCTACTTCATTCTGTTAAACTGCAAATTTCTGCAAGTAAAATGAGGACTGACAATTGGGGACAAATATAGATTTAACCAACAACTCTAACTTAGTATGTGGCTATAAGGGAAACAAAACAAAATAAGGCAACAGCTAGAGATAGGAAATTAAATTATGAAAGCTTAAGATGGGAGAAAATACCATGTTTATATTTGGATAATAATTAAGAAAAAGTGGGCTGGGGATTTAGCTCAGCGGCATAAGTGCCTGCCTTGTAATCAGGCAGTCGTGAGTTTGATCCCTGGTAACGATAAAAACGAAAAAGACAAAAAAAAAAGAAAAAAGAAAAAAAAGAAAACCAAAATCCATCTCTTTGGGGGCTGGGGATTTAGCTCAGCGGCATAAGCACCTGCCTTGCAAGCAGGCAGTCCTGAGTTCGATCCCCGGTACCGATAAAAGGAAAAAGACAAAAAAAAAAAAAAAATTAAGAAAAAGTGATAGAGGAGGATGACAGTGAGATTACATCCTCGAGTAGGCAAAAGGAATCTAGCACAAAGGACCTAGAATACTGATGAAGAGAACAGTACTAGCCAGGTGTGGTGGTGCATGCCTGTGAGATCAGCTGCTTGGGAGGCAGAGGCAGGAGGATCTAAATACAAAACCAGCCTGTGCAATTTATAAGAAACCTTGTCTCAAAACATAAAAAGGGCTGAGGCTGTGGATGAAGTTCAATATTAGAACACTCCTGGGTTCAATCACTAGGACCAAAAAGAAAAAAAGGGCCAGGAATAAAGCTCAGCAGCACAAGTGCCTGCCTGGCATGTATGAGCTTGTGAGTTTGATTCCTGGTACCAAAAAAAAAAAAAAAGAATCAGGCCAGTGATTTAGCTCAGCAGTGCAAGCACGTGCCTGGTAAATGCAAAGTTGTGAGTTCAATTCCTGGTACCAAAAAGAAAGAAAGAAAGAAAAACAGTCTTCAACAGAAGATATTACCTATACAACCCAGATGTGTGGGCAAATCTATAGCATGCCTGCCACAGCAGGTTGTTTGTATCATTGAAAGTTCCAAAAGGTTTGCTATCGCTGACCTAGATAATTTACTTAAATAATCACTCCCTACACTAAAGTGTAAGTTCTGCAAGGATAGGGCTCTTGTGTTTGGTTCACTGCTATAGCCTTGAACAGAACTTGGCATATAACACATTAAAGATTGGAGTGTGCTTTAAGACATATGGGGAGTAGAATGTACAAGTACAAGTACAGGTAACTTCTTTGACAAGTATTCCTTTTTTGTTTTTTGAGATAGGGTCTTACTATGTAGTTCAGGGTGGCCCTGAACTCATGGTGATCCTCCTGCCTCACCATCCTGAGTACCGGGATTATAGTTGTATGCTACCATATCCAGAAAGTATTCTTTTTTTTTTTTTCTTCCTCTCCATTGGCGGCTGAGAATACTTCTCTGCCACTCATTACACTCCCAATCCTAGAAGTGTTCCTGTAAAGGTTGCAGAGAATGTAGCAGAGGGTGCAGGTGGTTGTAGGATCAAATGATTGTTTTCTTAAGACAGCAAATGCTAGCATATTTGTCTATGCTGAAAGAAATGTCCAGAGAGAAGAAAAAGTTGATCATGTATAAGGAAGAGGATAAGGCTGGAGAGAAGTTGCCTATCATAAAAGTGTGGAACTGGAGGAAAGGGGTTAGCTCAGTTGTGGAACATCCACAAAGGCCATGGATCTGCAAGGACCTAAGATTGGATCCCAGAAGCACCCCTTTTATAAATAGGAACATGATCTAGTGCTGGTATGGAGGACTTTCAAGTAAATATATCAATCGTTCATTTTCAACAGTGAGCAGAATGTATAGCACTTACAGTGAGGAAATGATAGAAATGGTAAATAAAAACAGGTGAGGTTCTCTTTTGCTTCTACTTTTTCAGTGGTATGGATATTCCTCAAAAAACTAGGACTGGAGGTCCCATCTGACCCTGCTATTCCCCTTCTGGGTATCTTCTCAAAATAATTAAAAACATCATACCACAATGATATATGTGCACCCATGTTTATAGCAGTACAATCTGTAATAGCTAGATCCTGGAAGCAACCTACATGCTCATCAACTGTAGAATGGATAAAAAAGATGTGATAGTTTTATACAATGGAATACTACTCAACCATAGAGAAGGATAAACTTGACACTTTTATTAGGTAAATGGATGTAACCAGAGACCATACTCATAAGTGAAATCAGACTCATATGTGTAAATAGTATTGTCTCCTTAATGTAAGCTGAAAGACAGCATATATATGATGGTTAATATATACTAATTTCTCTGAGTTCATTGAAAAGAAAGGTTTCTGCTAATATTGTTTGATCAGTTAAATGCAGACATCTTGTAGTTTGAGTAACTATCTTAAAGCTAACAGTACAAAAGGAATTAACCATTGTTACCCTCTAGTCATTGTGTTTTAAAATTTTGTTTTTTTCTCTTGAAAATAAAAATACAGAAGAGTTCCTTGTCTGAAGGTATTGAGTAAGTAGGACAAGACAAGAGGTTTCGAAGATGACAGATGTTGAATGTAGACTATGGCAGGACGGGGAAACACTATAGACTTGACGAGGACATCCACTTTAGGTTAGTGGACATGGATTAAAGTGAGATAACTTACCACAGTCCTGTTTTACTCCAGACAATTTTGGCTGCTCTAAATATAAGTGTAGAATAGGAAACATTTAAGCAGGTAAATATGCCAAGTATAAAGAACAGAAAAGAATAGGGAAACAACAGATTATGAATTCTCAAATGGATAAGGAGGGAAGTGAAAAGCGTGTCAGTACACAGACGTAAAGTCAATGAACCACCGGTCTCAGCGCGATCGAAGTTGTTAGAGCGAGTTGTTATTTCTCATGTCTAGATAAAGATCATGGAAGTCAGTTTTTCGCTCTTGCAGGCCATTCTCCAGGGAAGTTTGGGCTAGAACTCCAAATCCTTAAAGCACATTCTCCGCCTCCTTTGTACGGAGAGAGTCTACCTAGCGGAAAAGAGGGCTCCCACTTGCTCCTCCTCTCCACCCTCCCCCTACCTCTAATTTAGGGTTGGGCTATCCCAGCGGGCAGCTCCTCCCAAACTCACTGTTTGGATCGGTGTTGGGCGTCGCTAACCGCCGGCGAAGGACTTCTTTCCAGTCCATAGCTAACTCCTGCGCGGCAGCACCTGCATTTGCTGTTTCTTAGCTGCTCCGCCCTCTTCCAGCCCGACGTGAGACGCCGCCAGACTTCGTCTGGGTTAGGAAGGGCGCACCGCCGCCATCTTGGAAATGGGCGGAAGTCGCAGTTACGGAAAAAAAACCCTAAAACCAAGATTTCTGTAGCCGTTCCTGAGGATACGGCGATCACGCTGAGGGAAGGCAGATATGAAAGATGAAAAATGACCCTCCTCAAGCAGGCGTCCCAACCTCACCAAGCCCGAAATTAAATATGAGGATAAGTAAGCCTGCGTTTTAATTTCTTCATTGTGGGCCTTTAGCGGGTGTGCACCACGTGATTCACAACTCCATTAGCGTTTCCGGGTTGAGAGACGACCCTTCTTTATCTGGAGGCTTTAACGGTCCCGCAAAGAAACAGGTGCTCCCGCGGCTTCCAATGCCTCTGCTTGTAAAATCTTGACACTCGCCTTTTTCCCTACCGCCGGGCCCTCCAAATCGCCGGCATTCAGCGCAGCCACCCTGCGCGCCGGGGCGGCGCGGTGCATTGTGGGCACTGTAGTTTCCGTCGCGTTCCTGGGTTCCTTTAGCTCGTCTCGCGTGGTGAGTAAATGAAGTGGATTTTGTCTACTATCCGGATGTAGTGAAGTCGTTCCTCTAACTGGACCCCGCTTCTTTACACGAGTAGTTGGCTCAGGTGAACTTCCCACCTCCCCGACCCCTCTGACCGTTTCAGGCGAGTTTGGGGGCCTGTGTAGAGTTGTTATGCTGGAAGAGTTCTCTAGACTTTGGCAGTCTTCACTAGTGGTGGGGCTGGGATTGGGGCTCATCGAAGTGGATTTGGTTTATTGATCTTCTTGCTCTTACCTCCTGCCCCCCGTGCCGTTTTCAGAACAGTTGAGAGCTAGACTGAGTGTTCCTTGTGTTTTTTCCTCAGGTCTTTGGGCTGGAATGTAACAGGCACCAGAAGATCTCTGCTGTTTCCAGGTTTAGGGCTTTTGACCCACGTTGGACATCCCAGATCCTTGTTTAATGAATTGCTCTTGTTGCTAGTGGCCCCCAAAGCAGAACCTCACATGATCTGTCGGTAAAGAAGAAAGTCTCCTTTTAAAAAATTCGCACTCCACTTCCAAACTCTAGTCTATTAATACGGCTGTAGAAATAAAGGCCTCTCTGTCTTGTGTAGATCTCACTGCATAATGACCTGTTTGTCTGGTATTCGAAGTTTTCCTAAACTTTGGAAGAGCAAGCCATACTTTGGAGTTGGTCCAGGGCACTCTTACCTCTCTCTCTTTCTCAGAGGCAGTGGCATTAAGAACCAACAGAGGTCTTTTTCTCTTAAAACTATGTCTCTGCAAAATACCAAAGCAGTGAATATGCTGGCTGCCAAAGGTAGATTTGTCAATAAAGGAGACAAAGAGAGTATTAAGCGAATTTCTGCTCGTCCTTCTCATCTTTTTGCTGCTGGAGAAGCTAAGAAGAGATCACAGATGAATCCTTCCGATCAACATCAAACCTTGTTACCCAAGAAGAATAATATTGAACTCCCAACAAAACCACTGAGTTCAGAGGAGTGGGATAAACTTAAGGAAGATTACACAGGAAAGAATTTTGAGAACTGGATCAGTGCACAGATGTCTCAAAACCACAGCTCTGTAGATGTGGCTAAATCTCTTTTGGCATGGGTAGCAGCAAAAAACAATGGTATTGTAGGCTATAATTTGTTGGTCATGTATTTGCATCTCTGTGTCTTCCACAAGCAGACATCAGAAGTTATTGATGTCTATGAAATCATGAAAGCCAGATACAAGAGTTTAGAACCTGGGGCTTACACTCTTCTCATCCGGGGATTAATCCATTCAGACAGATGGAGAGAGGCCTTCCAGGTATTAGAAGAGGTAAAAAAAATCATGACACCTTCAGTAAGGAACTATGATGACTGTATCCAGGGAGCCCTCCTCCATCAAGATGTGAACATGGCATGGAATTTCTATGAGGAATTGCTAAGTCAAAAATTTACTCCTACATTGGAAACTTTAAAATCTTTCTTTGATTTTGGAAAAGGCATAAAGGATGATTACTATTCCAACAAACTACTAGACATGCTTTTGTATTTAAGAAATAACCACCTGTATCCTGGGGAGTCACTTGCCCACAGTATAAAAACATGGTTTGAGAGGTAATTGTCATTTTTATGTTGTGTATGTTTTTGGTAACTATGTCTATTTTTATAACTGTATCTAAAAACCTTTTTTGTTGTTGTTGCTGCAAATCATTTTACTTAAATTAAAGCTTTTTCCTTTTCTAGGTAAGATTTGTTTCCTCCTTAAGACATTTTCTTGAGCCTGGCATGGTGGCTTGGCTCATGCTTGTAATCCCAGCACTCAGGAGGCTGAGTGAGGCAGGAGGATCATTGTGAGTTAGAGACCACCCTAGGCTACAAAGTGAGCTCAAGGCCAGCCTGAACTGCATAGAGAGACCCTGTTTCAAAAAGACAAAAAAAAAAAAAAAAAAAAAAAGACATTTTCTCTGCTTAAAACAAATAGTAGCAGAGGGCTAGGGCTGTAGTTCTAACAGTCTTGAGGTCCTGGTTTAATCTTTAGCCCTTGTAAGGGGGAAAAAAAGAAGTAGAAAAGTGCATAGCAGTAGAGACAATTTGTGCTAATCTGTACCCTTCACATAAAAAGGAAATTACATGGCCTGGGACTGTAGCTCAGTGTCAAGCACCTGCCTGGCAAGCACAAGGTCCTGAGTTTGATTCCCAGTACCAAAAAAAAAAAAAAAAAAGGAAATTACATAGCGTTTTTTTTTTCATGGTACAGGGATTGAACTGGGCATCCCCACTAAGCTTGCAAGATAAGATTATTGTGGTACCTTGATTCACAACCATAATTATTTCCATGATTCAGGTAGTAGAATTCCTTCCAGTATTTGGTTGCAACCAGAATCATGGAAACATTTAAGTGGTAACTGATGTACCACTTTATGGCATTTGACTGGACGTGTCCTTGGGCCATTTTAGTATTTTCAGTTTCTCTGAAATCTAGTGACTGGGATAATGTGCTCATACATCATGTTTACAGAGTTTTGAAGTAGTAATTATGCTTCATGAGGTTGACAAACTTACTGAGCATCAATAGAAGAAGAACCAGGATGTGAATATCTTTGAATGCCAAATAGCTTTGACTTTATTCTGTTATCAAAAATGCTGGTTTTGTAGTGGATTTTAAAAAGATAGTTGCCAAAACAGTGAGGAAACTGGAAACATGAATATCTGTTTGGATGCAGTTAAGAGGTGAGGAGGTCCTGAATTAAGAACTGGGAAGGAGAATAAGCAATAGAATTAGAGGGAACTGACGGTAATATATGTAAGAAGAAAACATTCATTGATTGAGCAAATAAATTGACAAATGGTTTTTGAAATCCTCTAGTTAGGTGAGGCACAGTGATATAAAATGTGATATAAAATGTTGTGATGGCCTTCTCAGCCTAATTAAGAATATCATTCCTGACAGTTAAGTAATAGTGGTCTGTAAGAGAAAAGTATGAGAGCAGAGAAATTACTCTGAACAGGAGCAAGCTGGCAACTCCATGGAAAAGGTTAGAGGTGAGTTTGGCCCAGAGGTCAGCAGCTTTCTGTGGCACTCCGATTAAGACTTGGAAAAGATGTGGGAGAATCAAAGGAAGAAGGCACTCATTTAGAGTCCCATCTGCTGCTTTACCTCATCACAGCCTGACAACTGCACTTGTCGTTAAATCATTCTGGGGACGAATCCTGAACCCTTGAGAGCTCTTGCTTACAGAATTTTTACAGACGGTGAGTATTTTTGGTTCCGTAAGAATGTAACCTGATGATTTGGCTTTGTGATCCTTTTTTTTTCTTTTTTTGTAGTATTCCTGGAAAACAATGGAAAGGACAATTTACTACAATCCAGAAAAGGTAAAACTCAGTAGTTATTTTTAACTTTGTTTTATTCAGATTCATTAGAGTTTTCTTTGTTGTTTTAAAAATATTTAAGAATACTCTGGGAACAGGATAATTAAGAGTTTATAATTAGAATACTTGATAAATAATGTTTTACATATGAAGACTTTGTAGCACTCAGAATGTTTTTATTGTTGATGTTGTGAGCCTGTATGAAGACAGAAATATTTACTTCTAGAGATTAAGAGCCCACTTTTGTTTTGGAAATTACTTTAAAAATCTCATCTGGGTGCTCAGCAATCTACCCTTTGGTTTCCTGACACACCAACTATGTGATGTTTTCAGGAAAAAATCAGATAGTTGTGATGATCACAAAGGTTTTAATTTCTGTCTTAATACCTTTCAGAAGCCAAGTGTGGTGGCACATGCCTCTAATCCCAGCACTTGGGAGGCTTAGGCAACAGGATTGTTGAGAGTTTGAGGCCAACCTGGGCTATAAAGTGAGTTCAAGGCCAGCCTGAACTACATAGTGAAACCCTGTCTCAAAAAGAAAAATAACAACAAACCCTTCCAGTTTCCTTGAGTCTTAGAATTATTCAGTTTAGAAAAAGTTATTTTCCATGACACTATTTAACTTTTTAAAAAATCGTAATTACAGCGGCCAGTGTTCAGGCTGTGGAAACACCATAGAGTCTATTCATCTGAGTCCAGAAGATTATGACTTTCTCAAGGAAAAAATCATGAGGGATGTAATAGATGGAGGAGATAGATACAGAAAGACAACACCTAAGGTGAGTGTAATAGGCTTTATTGCATTCTTGGATTGCTGGTCTAAAGCAGGAGCCAGCAAGGTTCTACCACCGGGTTGGGATGGTCACATATTGGTCACATATTCTTGAAGGGCAGCCAGAATAGCATTTCACTGTCCATTAACATACAAGTGTATCCTTGATCCCATGTTATTAGCTGCATTGGGCCGTTCCACTTTCCTGTTTGGGTGTCCTTCTATAGGACTTGAGCCCTAAGCATGTTCATTGGATTTGTCCCTTTGCCAATGAAGTTCTGATAGAGGGTATTTACTTTCTGCAACCAGGTTTAAAAATTTTAAGGTGAAGATAGCAAGATCTAATTGTGTGTGTGGAGGTAACCTTTTGTTTTCATAATTGTGTTTTTAAAGAAATTTGAGTGTGTGGGTCTAAATATCTTAGCTATCTATAATAGTTTCCCTCTGAAAAGATATCCCTAATTGTAGGTAGTGGAGAGTAGATGTAGAGTTCATCTTAACTGCTTCTAGCTGAGAGAGATCAGTGTAAGGAAGACCCCTTGCAGGAACCTTCTCCAGAGAGCTAACCTAATGGCACTTAGATAGAAGTCATGTTGCAATTTAGCAGTTATGAACTCTTACAGATTTTATTGTAATTTATTCATAACAACCCATTACAGTGGTCAGTTACTAGTGTGGTTGGAAATTGCCAGAAGTGGTTAATGCTCAGAGCCCCTTCCTATAGCTAGCTTACTATTATGATATTGTTTTTAAATACCTTTTGGTTATAATTTTCTGCTGGATAGTCAAGACCAACTTTTTTTTTTTAATCATTACCAGGGATCAAACTCACGACAGCGTGCTTGGAAGGCAGGTGTTATGCCTCTGAGCTAAATCCCCAGCCCAGTCAAGTCCAACTTAAATTGAGACCTGGATTAATTAAAATTTAATCTCTTGCTATCAAGATCAGTGAAGTCTCCTAAGGATTTACCTTGGAACCATACATAGAGCCTCTCAGGTCTTCTGTCAACATCAACCATCAGGATGAGTCACAGCTTTTGACCAATTGCTTTCTACGAAAGTAGGGGAAACATTCCCTCTACTGACCCTACTTTGGCACACTGTTCACTGTGTTCCCGTCCCCTGGAGCCTAGCAACCTCACTGGTCAAGGGGCTGTGTGACTCACCAGAGTTGTAGTTGTAGCCATAGAAAATGTTCCCTCGGGGCTGAGGATTTAGCTCAGCGGCATAAGTGCCTGCCTTGCAAGCAGGCAGTCGTGAGTTCGATCCCCGGTACTGATAAAAAGGAAAAAGACAAAAAGAAAAAAAAAGAAAATGTACCCTCATGTCCTGTTTCCTCATTGACCTTGGATGGTCAGGGCCCAAAATATTAGCTGTACTCTTTGCCCTGTTTCCTTTCTAACTATGGTCTCCAAACACCTAGAAGAGAATATCAGTGACATCATTATAATGGGAGCAGTGAGCTTAATTATTATAATTTTATCTGGATAGCAAGTATTTTGAAATACAAAGTATAGCCAGAAGACTGTTGTTCCTTACCAACCATTGTTGTTGTAGTTGGATTCCTATAGTGTTAACATACAACAGTTATACTTTATAAAGAAAACTTTGAGATCAAGAGCTATACACAATATTTTATCATGACAATCATGATACTACTTTTGTAACACACTGAAATCTCCATTTTGATTTAGAATAGCCTTTTTAGTCAATCATCTCTATCTCATACATAATCTCTATCTCTATCTCATGTAATTTGTGATCCTTTAATGGGATGTCATTTAAGAAATTTGTGACATTGTCTGTGCTCTTAATATCTCAGCATTTCTAAGTGTAACAACACATGTATAACAAAAACATCATAGATGTCTGACTTTTTAAAAAATTATTTTTGACTGGTGGTCTCATGTTGGTTTGACATATACATCTTATTACAAATAGCTAGAGCACAAGAGAAAGGCAGATATCTTAATCTAAAAGAATAAGCTTATCACTATAAACAATCCCAGTGTTACATTTTAGGAGACCTGTACAGCAAGAAGACCTGTACATCATGAATACATTTATTACACCATGAGATTAACAATAGTGAATGTTGTAGCAAATGAAAACTTTTGTTTCTTAATTTAGTTTTGTACCAAACTTTTAGTGAGAAAACTTTATTTTATTTATAGAAAACTTAACCTTTTGACAGTGACCAATGTAAAGATATCACAATAATATCTTTAACAACATTTATAAGAGTATATCCCATAAAACTGTGGGAACCACTAGGGCCCCCTTAATGAACAAAGGCTCAAATAAGATTTTTTTCAGGCAGCTGCTCCTTTATTCACCAAGGAGAGTCCTGTCCAAATAGTTTTCCACCCTCTACTTAATTATCTTAACAATTTTTAGCAATTAACAATAGTTTTGACCAATGAAAGATTCAAGTCATCATACACAGAAAACAGTAAGCATTATATTTATAAAACCAATTTTAACATCATTTTGACCACCTGACAACTTAGGTGGAAGCATGTCTTTAATTTTGATGACATTTATCTATAAGCCAACTTAAATTGCAGACAGATGTTTCAAAGATGCAAAAGGAAGGAAAAATTTTTAAGCTGAAATAAAACAGCTGCTTATAGATTGGACAGACAAATACAAATAAGACAATTTGTTTATAAAATCAGAGTGCACTCAAATATATTTAGCCAATTTGAATTATAACTTTTATAGTTTTTAAATTTGTAACTATAAATAGACTAGTCAGAACTTTTTGTGGGTTAGTTAACATAGATTGCTTGTAATAAGAATTAGAAAGAATGGGGCTGGGGATTTAGCTCAGCGGCATAAGCACCTCCCTTGCAAGCAGGCAGTCATGAGTTTGATCCCTGGTACCGATTTAAAAAAAAAAAAGAATTAGAATAAAACCTCTCACACCCGTGAAGGCCAAGAGGTGTTTTAAGATGAGTCCTCGGCTGATTGGAATGTCCAACTATACAGGCAACTAATTGTTGGTTGATAACCGTAGTAGCTGGAGAGTCACAACTGATGGCCAGAACTACTCTTTTGTCTTTTTCGTTTTTATCGGTACCAGGGATCGAACTCAGGGCTGCCTGCTTGCAAAGCAGGCGCTTATGCCGCTGAGCTAAATCCCCAGCCCCAGAACTACTCTTTTGATAACCACACATAACTGTTCTTTCTAATGGGATAGATGGTTAAAGTAATTTTAACTATTTTTGGCTGGAAGGGGAGCTCACCATTCTAGAAACTTGCCCCTGAAATTCAACAGCCTCGGAAGAAGGAATTGCTTTTTTTTTTTTTTTTTTTTTTTAATTTTTATTTAAGGAGAAAAGAAAAGAAAGAAAAAAAAAACAGTGAAGGGGTACAAGTTATACAGATTTACAGAATAAAAAAAATGCGCAGTAGGAAATCACTAGTTAATGGATTACATATTGTCATCTTAGAAATAATTATTCCAGTCACAAAATTAAAGCTTGTAGAGTGGACATTCCAACAATGATACTACAAACAGTTCTGTTCAATGATCCAATAAAACTCTGTGATATCATTTTCTATCTTATACATTTAAATATACATGCAGTTATATAGTTTAGAGCACTTTCTTTTCCTCTCTTTTGTACAGTGACTATTACACATTTTGGGTTTCATTGCTCCCACGGTTCTTGTTGCTTTTTTGGAAGAGAGTAACACCAAATGTGACATAACAGAGCAGAATCGGTCAAGTCAAAAGGGTGGACATAATAGATAATATAAAAACATAATACAAGGTGATCAACAATGGTTACCATAATGCCTCCCGCTATTTCTAATAGAATTGCCTATATCATTAGTTGTAATACAATTGAACAAAACCGTAAAGAATAAAACCGACAAAACCAAAACATTGGAGATATTGTAGGTCTTCAAAAGTAGATAAAAGTCAACGAGAATGGACGTTATAATGAATCTCATTATCTTCTCAGCTGATGCCTAAACTTTCGAACCTGATACTATCCAGCAAAACAGAATAGAGGAACCTCAGTCAAAAACAAGATGGTGAGAGTAACACAGGGCTTCAAATCGAGATAATAGAAAGTCAAAGTGGGTTACTATATTATATCCTGCTATATTTTTCCCTTTAATTAAATAGATAAAAATAAAAAAGTAAATAATGGAGTGGAGATTGAGAAAAAAGAGGGCATAACAGCGAAACAGGGCAGATCAAAACATAACCATTTAAGCAGAATAGTGTTTCACCACCAGATAATCCTGACCCAAAAATAGTTACCGTATTGACTCCCTCCCTGAAGTCCTTGAGTACAACTTCATATACTGTAGCATTAAGTATATCAAAACAATGTAAATCCATTTAAGAGAATGACAGCATTATAGAGTATTTAGAATCGACTAACAGAAAATGAACAATGGTCTCTGTATAATCTCCTTGTCTTTAAAAGGTTTTTTCTTATACTATCGTACATAACAAAATCCAATAAGATACAACCTGTTTAGACCATTGGAGACAGAAGAACAAAAACTAGATGAGACTTCAAAACAAGATGGTACTAAATCAGCATTACCTATTAAGATGTCATTTTCTCCAAAAAAAGCTGTTCCTATCATCCAATCTTCTCTGTCTCATTTCTGTTGAGCTCTTTTTCTGTCAGTAGCTGTCAGTTTGTCTTCTTCATTTTGTTCTCTGCTCCATTCGTTGTGGCTTCCCTGCCCCTATTTCTGGGTTCTTTGTATTTTTCTTTTTTTAGAATATCCTGCAATACTTTCTGTAGGGTTGAATTGGTGGTTGCAAATTCCCCCAGTTCCTCTTTATCCTGGAAGCACCACGTTTTTCCATCAATTTCCAGGGACAGTTGTGCAGGATATCTCAATCTTGGCTGTAGATTATTATCTTTCAAAGCTTGAATTATTTCTCCCCATGCTCTTCGTGATTTGATGGTTTGTGAAGAGAAATCTGCTGTAATTCTGATGGGTCTCCCCTTGTAAGTGATCTGTTTCTTG